GATTGGCTCCAAAAGACCATCTGGACAACATGAGCATTCGTACAAACACTGTTATCTGAGAGATACACTGACTGAGGCCGAACAGCAAACCACGAATATGCTGTGCGATACAGACTTTCGCGCAACATACACTCGCAGACAGCATCTAGATGTGAGCTCTTCAACGTCTCCAGTCCAAAAAGAAGGAAGGTGTAGCGTAGCTCTCGAGCTAGCGGATGAGTACTGGACGAATCGTCAATATGGCTTCAAACAGTAGACCTGTTGAATGTACCTAAACAATTTGTGTGCTTGCGCAGATCGCAAAACAAGTCTCTGAATGAGGAACATCACAGCCGAGCGACAATATCTAGCTGCTTGCAATCGACTGAACAACATCTGTAGAACTAAGGTATGGGGCATGAGCAGCCGACGAGCTTGAGTCGTTGCTCGATCGATTTCGTCCTTGTCGGTTGGACTATAACTGATGGGATGATAGAATGGATCAGCACAGCTGTGGGTTGTCAATCACTTGGGAATTTAGAATGCCAACAAAATCGACAAACTTTGACGAGGCTGAGAACACGCCCTTCCGTTCCTTCACAGTCCCAAACCAAGACGTGAGCACTTCGCACATGATAGCCACTTCCATGTTAGGACGCGCCGCGATGACCCACGTCCATGTTTCAATACCCGCAGCGACCGCAGAGGGGGTGAAAACCTCAAACGGTAGAGCTACCAGGAAATGTACCAAGGTGTAATCGCACTGAAAATCATCAACACGGATGCCAGAAACATATAGAGCATGGTCCAACCTGCTCCAACGATATAAGAATCGCTGCACAACGGAATAATAGACGTTGCAGATCTTGAACAGTTAAAGAGCTACGTTTATTCCGAATGTCGTTCATCGTATCGGCCATCTTGTCCTTGAAAGGCTGGACGCCAGTGCAGTGCATCTGAGGAGCTACTTTATCTAGCGAATCTTGATCTTGCAACCGTTAATGCACCCGACCATCTATCAGGTAGACCGACTTACTTTTACGAGCCGCAAGTCGCAAACCAGCAACCTCCCCTGCAAAATAGCATTTACTCGCAAGTTGACTGGCAAGAGCGCGTGCACGATCAGACTTCCAGTTTGACAGGCTACACAAAGAAGCTAGGATGTAGAATGATCAGAATACCTGCACATGATTTGAAAACCGAGCGCCTACAAAGTTGTCGATGCACAGGACCAAATGCCTTGGCAAATGTTTCGGCAACAGAAGCTCCTAACTCAGCAGCGTCCGCACCAATCAGTGGTTGTGTAGCTGCAAGATATTTCTGTAGAGGACATGACATGAAGGAAAAGAGGTGCAGATGACGATAACAAAACGAACCTGAAGCGTCGACTGGAGCTCAATGGGAGCCCGGCTGAGCGCAAGTTCAAACCATGTGTTGGCATTGCGCTGCAGCTGTCCAAGGATATCATTTCGTACTTTGTAGTCGTCCGTGAGCTGTAGCGTGATGCCGGTGCGCTCAGAATGGAACTCGCACACCGGGTTGTACTGCAATTGAATTAAACGTCAGCAAGTCGGTTAATATAATCATGTTTCTGTCACCTCGTCCGTAAACTCGTTCTCGCATGCGTGACGCAGAAGAGTAAGGCACTCAAGGATTGCATACACCAGTGGCGGGTCGCACATGAGGGAAGGAAACGACGTGATCAAGTTAAATAGGTATTTGGCTGCGACGTCCCGAGCACGAGATATGCGATGAGTGCTGGCTACGAGCAGCTTGCGAAGTTCCTCTGATAGATGGGCTGGTAGTGCCTGATCCACAGCTTGGGAATTCATCTCTCCCATGCATCCACGCATAACCTGTTGACAGTGTAGCTCAGCGCACCATATCCGAAGATGAACATTACCTTGTCAGCTATAGATTCCATGCATACAATAAGATAACTTTGTCGATTCAGGCTCCCATTCGTGAAGTACGACACCAAAGAAGACGGGAGACCAGCAGCAGATCGCATACTCTCAACGTCCTGCATCACCAATAAGAATATTACCTGTCCCGGGGACAAAGAGCGTATCTCGCTTGCGCGATGTGGAATATGACGTGTAAGGAACGATCGATGCTTTGAGATAACCTATTGAAATCATCAAGTATCCTCTCTTTCCAAACAACGCAGCACTAACAGAATGTGCATATTCATGCCGGATGACAGTGCTATACTCGATTTCACTCGCCGCATCATGAGCATTCTCAAGTACCAGAGTTGGCGTCTTCGTTGCGATTTTCGCCAGCACAGGTACGAGCCACGTCATCGCGCCCCTCTCCTCGCCAGATGTAAAGTGGAAAAGGACGCAGAGGAACCACATATTCCGGAAGAGACACGTAAGCTCTTGCGAAGCGGCTAGGTGTGGAGAGTAATCTGGATGGGTAAGAAGCGCTTCAATCGGCAACAACAAAGAGGCCAGCTGCTCGATCATCTCTTCCGTCTGAATCGAACGTTCAGCACAACATTTGCAATGCATAAGCAAACTTACCTTGACGTGTCGATCAGATGTTGCCACATTCTGGATAGCAACGCCTTTGTCTCCGAAGAGAGTGAGCAGCTCAACCAGATATACATCATACAAATCTGGTCTTTGGTCTAGTTCCCGTGCAAGCCTCGTCTGGGCGGCCAACACCTACTATCCATCAGCACACACACCATCGACTTATAATTCCATACACACCATGTTATTAGAGAATCTCGGGTCCTCCAGGTTCGTAGCGCGATTGATAAGCGAGAACGCACGGGCAACGTCTATGAACGACTCTTCAGGAGCTACAAGCGCAAGATCCACGAGGTTATACGCAATCGCAGCCTCGAGAGTCGGCTCCAAAGTCCGCAAGCGCTGCAATAACATCGAAATGGTAAGTTTTGTAACTTCTTCCTGGCCCGCAGCATGGAACTCGAGTGCAAGGCGCGTGACAACAGAGATAGTCGTGATCCCGATGAGCTGCTTCTCTTCGTCTGAGCGACCATGTAACCCTGTTTCGTCGCTTTCGAAGGTCACATTATCATTGGGAGAGGTGATCGAGGAGGCGTAAAAGGGGTTGGAAAGGAGTTGGTTGGAGGAGGATGATTCGGTTATTTCTTTGGAGGTCGCAGCGATGTAATTGAGGAGAGAGTACATGTTGGACATGATGGAGTCGTCACCAGGTGATAGCTGGGAAGGCCTGAGGTGTATTGAAAAAACTGGGTGAGAAAAAACATACCTTGATACAAAGTGCAAGGCATTTGGCAGCAGCTGTCAAAGGTGGGGGTGCACGCTTCTCGGTGTTGAATGCGAACTCGAATATAGAAAGAGGAGAGGTGACGAAACGGCGGAGATGGATGGCAAAAGACGGAGCGATCTCCGGGAAGCTGTAAAAGATGAGCCAAGGAAGTGCTGTGCGTTTCATAGCCTGACTGACCTTTGCACAAGCACCGTAGTAGCCTTGAGCGCCGATTCCTGAACAAGATTGTCCAGGATGGGTGCACTGTCGCTTAATAGCTGCGTCAGGCGAGTGTGAAGATTTTCATCTAGCTCTCGAAGCGCAACGGAGCAGACAGAAGCGAGTTTCTACTCATTAATGACGGGTCAGAAAAAATACTTGGTCAATTGACATACGAGAAAAACGTACCAAGCTCTCGGACATGGTCTCCCATGCATAAGTATCGATGGGAGGTTCGGTTTCCATACCCTCAATCTGATCCAGCAAATCACTAAAACACTGCACTGCATCTCTGATGATATCCCTCAGGGCTTTCCTCGTCTCCTCGTCATTCTCCAATCCCAAATCCTTCGCAGGACATTTCATGAGGTTCACCCACGCTTTATTCGCCGCCGCCGCTTCGCGCACGTGGCCCTTGTGTACCAGAGGAGTGCTCGCGAGGGCTTGTGCGAGCACAGTCCACTCCATCTCCATGACACAGCATACGATAAAGTACCCACTCAGTGGGCGTCCAAATGCTATGTATCGAGAGATGAATGTGTGGCAGAAGGCGACGGAGGTAGCATCGGTTTCTGGATTAGACTCTGCTTCTTGGTGTATGTCAAGTAGGAGGCGGTTGATTCGTTCAAGAACGGGAGTGGCAACAAGGAACTGGAGGGACTCAGAGAGAAGGCGCCATTGAGAGGCGGTCCATGGGTAGAGAGTGGAAGTGATTGCACGGTACAATCCGTGAACACAAGGCGTGAGGTGTGTAAGCACATCTATGGCTACATAGATGTCAGAACGCTTGCGCGAAAATCAAATGAAGTCCCTACAGCTGGACTCCTGGAGGTTTTCAACGATGTCGGTGACGAAAGTGATGATGGACGTGACAGTTCTGTCTGCGTATTCTGGGTGTGCACCACAGATACGCAGAAGGGCGGAAACGGTAGAGAAGACCAGCTGATCAGGGAGGGCCCACTCTGATAAACAGTCAGGGGCGCCGACCACAACATACGAGAGATGACATGCCATCCCATGAGAGACACCGGTCAAAATCCACCCGTGGCACGTCATGTAAAAGATCCATTAGGACGGGAATGAGGGTATCAATGTGCCTCGCAATATGTTCCTCCGGAAAGTTTGCGACAAGTTCGCCAAAAGCAATGTTGCAGTGAGCCCTAGCCTCGGACTGCGCGGTCATAATAAGTCAACGTACATGCATCGAGCGGGCACTTACCATGAATGCACGAGGATAAGCCTCCCTTTCTCCCGAGTCACCATTGGGTGCACTCTGTTTTCCATCTATCAGCTGGGCCTTGGATTGAATGAGGTCACGAGTAGTAAGGATATCCTCTTCTGTTTCTGTTTCAAGGGTGGCAAGGTCTGACAGAATCCGCTGGCGAATGTTCAACTCTAAGCTAAAATAGCATCATCAGATGAAGCATGAATGAGAAGTCGAGTGACGCACCAGTCCATCGTTCTTGTGCAAGAATTGGAGTGCTTAAACGATGATGATGTCTAAATTGTAAGAACGCAAGCTTTTCATGGTGGCGCCGAGCCGGCAAAGCTACGGAGGCACTATGGCCGAGTGGTTAAGGCGAGAGATTCGAACACGTGATATCTCTTACGGTTTCCGTGCGCAGGTTCAAATCCTGCTGGTGTCGTTTTTGAATGATATATCAAGTTCATACATTACTGTCTTTTTCTCCAGGCGTCAGAATCATAAGAAACACACCGGTAACCAATCCATCGTCATTTCTTGAACTCCGAAGTTGAAGTCGGGGACTGGCGCCTCCCAGCGCCGCTACGCTACCAGTACAATAGGTATATCTTTAATGGGAGTGAAATGGGACCACGTTCGCCTTCCTACCTCTGCGACCTCCAATCCCTTCTCATTTCTTTAACAAAACCATCGCCTCAGACTTCATCAACGCTGACGCGCGGTCGACGTCACTTTCTAAAGTCTGTTCAGCCCCGATCACCATCCTAATATAAAACACTTCATTCAAGTCTGTCTGGGTGAGCGCAATATCATTTCGTGCTGCAAGCCGTGCATAAAAAGCACGGTTCAAAATATTTAGCTCGGGAGTGCTGAGTTGAGGAGAGGACTTGGGTGCAAGTCCGAAGACTGTCATGGCAAGGGAAGGCTTGGTGATGACGGAGAATAACTCGGGTTCATATATGCTCTGTGCGAACTTGGTGTTCAACTTGATACCCTGGCGAGACAGGACCGAATATCAGTATGGGTTAGAGGAAAACGATAATAAATGGGCTGACGTACGTCGCTGATGTATTTTTGGAGACCTTTCACTCCCCGCGCACGAAGAACAAACCAGAATTTGAGCGATCGGAACCGTTTGCCAAGGCCTAACTGCCAGTTGCGGTAATCGATAGCGGTGCCTAAAATTCGTCGTTTATGCAACGGCCAACGGTTATAACACAGCATTTCCGTACTTTGTTCGCAAAAATACGGGTGTAACGTCTAGTGCGTCTGTCAAATGTTTCCGGTGCCGCACCCACAAACAAGAGCCATCAAATTGGATTGGACCCCACTGCAGAAGGTTGATGAGCCCCAGACCGATGCCACAAAATAGGAGTAAACAAACCTTGTAGAAACTGGTGCAGAAAGAATCTACATAACTATTGATGGCGGGAAGTTGGTATGCCTCGCGATATTCGGGACACACGAATGCAACGCCTGCCCATGCGGAATCAACATGCAGCCAAAGGAAGGGGTAATGTTTTGTTACGCGTAAAATGGAAACTTAAGGAGCTCTAATAACATGATCAGTATACGCACCGACATCAGCAATCTCGTCGAGTCGATCAACAGCACCGGAAGATGTCGTCCCTACAGTACCGACTGCAAAACGAGTAAAATGAATTGTGAGACAGCTATTCATGTGAAGAACATACTCAAGATGAAAGGGTGGAACCCAGCGTTCATATCCTCCTCCAATGCGACCTTGAGTGTGTCTCCACGCAATGCAAAGTCATCCTGAGCTGTGACTCCTAGTGCGCGCACTTTGAGACAAGCCCAGCTTTCTTCCCAAGCGAGTGAGTTTGGGTAGTGGTATAGAGCACGAGATTCTCCATCGCTACCTGAGGGTGCTCATGAATGTATCGTGAACGTGCAGCGACAGTGGCGACTAACGCAGATTCAGATGCTGACGGCTAGTGCATGACGATCAGTAAAAATTAGCGATATGAAGGGATGAGAAACAGACCTGAATGACGCCGCCGCCGACCTCGGAGATGTTGTAGAACGACTCATCAAGCCCAAGTAATTGAGCGATCCAGTCCATGACTACAGCCTCAAGCTTTGTATATGCGGGGCTCACAGACCACTACAAAAAGTTACAAAGATAGCGGGAGTGTTGCGGTAGAGAGACGTACATTGAATCCAGGGTTAGACGTGCTAGACGCGTATAGTTCAGCAAGTATACCCTCGAATGTGCTTGATGTAGGGAAGTACGCAAAGAATTAGGGGTGTTGCCAGTGTGTCAGGCCTGTCAGTCCGAATGAGATGGGTCAATTTGTGGAATAGTGAGAGTCAAATACCAGAAATGATGTACTTTTGATAGTCGTCAGCGATGAGCTGGAAGTCCTCGCCTTGAGTGGGGGCGGAGGCTGCGCTCGTGACGGTAAGAAGAAAGTGCGAGGCAAAATAAAAATATACGCACATGGGAGCACCTTTCTGAAGTACCCTGGCTCAACTTGGGATAAAACAGGTCTATCCCTCAAGGTGACATGGTAGTCACATATCCTATCGATGGCTTGATAACCAGCTCTACGGAATCTTGGGTATATCAGATATGACAAAGGTCAAAGTCTGAGACTTGCAGAACGCACTGTTCAGCATTCATGACGTCGAGAAATTGTTACTTAGGTAGGAGTTGGCTTGAAGTGGAAGAAAAATATACAGGCCCTAATTGTAAGAACACCTGCGAAGTACTGTGAGTACGAAGGGGTGTGTAGACCGCTTGGTGGGATAGATATGCGCTGTAGAGTCAGAGGATTGCGAATGAGAGCAATATGATAGGAAACGTGCTGAGTCCGAGACGATTGATGAAATAATGAAAATGCTACTGGATGACGAATGCGAAAGTGAGACGTCGATGCCAGGTATTATTGCCTGGTAGTGGGGACTGTACATGGGCTACTTATACTGTAGAGTAGTAATAAAGGTCCTCGTTTATCGCTAGGCCGAATGGAATGCAAGAAATGGAGGCAGAAGGGAGTGGCGTCGCGTGCGTTTCACCATCTAAAAGAGACCTCCTGCTCGAAGCAAGTTGAAAAGTTGTCTGAGACAACGCAAATATAGTATGGGCACAAGGAGTGTGCCACTAAGTATCGGCATGTTTGAATTTGAACGTCCAAGTATAGCCCAGCGTGAGTCTAATAATAGAATTCATTCTTGATCACATCCCCTCGCGTGAATCACCATGTCAATCCACGTCCTCCACGTCTTTTCTCTTCCTGAACAGTTCGGCAGATTGTACGACGCGTACCTTCAATACTTTCAGCAAATCCGTTTTTTGCTCATCGCCACCAAAGGCCGGACCATCGATTTCATCAAGTTCTACGATCCTTGGAACTGCAAGACTCTCGAATCAATCCTCATTGCTATCATCCTAGTACTACTTTTCGTCATCAATTTCTGGGCCACATCTCCTTCCTGCCTACTCACAAAAGACTCAAAACGCGCCCGCACGGCCCTCCAGGCTCTCCAAACTGTCATCGTCCCAAGCTGTTCTCTCTGGCCCGCGCGCTACATCAAGCTCGTCAAACATACCTCCAATCATCGTACCGGATCTAGGATAGTTGTCCCTTTAGGCATGCTCCTGCAAGACGTCTGCGATGGCGTCATAGAGCTTCGCGATCCTCTATACGATCTCGAGGACCTGATAGACCAGGGTGTTCGTGCGTATGGCTGTTCTGTCAGTCTGAAAGTTGAGTGGAAGTGGTGGGTGGAATGGCTAGATCGAATGGCGCGTGTCCATGTTATGTGTGTGTTCCTGACGCGTGTGCTGAACGACCGCACATCAGTTACGCGGAGACGTCTCAGGTGAGTATATGCGCTCTTGCGCTTAAAAATTCACTTCCAACGCATACATACTCATCCAAGAAGACAATACGAAGGGTTTTGATGGTAAATATTCATTATTCTAATCTTGGAGTCACTAGCATAAGGTCATCTCGACGGACTGACCGACCCACTCGCCACAGCACCTCCACCCTCCACCGACTATGGGACCATCATCGACCTCAACAACCATCCACTCACGCACTTGGCTACTATACAGCTCCCTCAAGGTTCCCGCACCACTTTGGAGTTCACCTCCCTCTCCAATCATATCCCCTTCCTCAGTACGAAGCATATCTTCTGCGTAATCCCTTTCCTGGCCCACCGTCTCCCCCACCGCCTGTCTGATGTCCTCGCAACAATAAACGACACCCCACAGTTCAAATTATCAACACTCACCAACACATCAGCAGTATACGCTGATGCACTCGCTGATGCACTCGCTGCACTATCAACCAAGATTACATACGATCCTGTAGCAAGACAACAGTACGTCGACGCACTGAGCGTTAAGGGATGGCGTAAACGGAGGCTAATGCTCGAGTTCGAGGCTGCTCTCGTGCTGAGGGGTTGGCTGGAACGCTGGAACGTGGTCTTGGAGGCTCGTTGATTATTCGTGTACTTGCCGCGTTTGCTTCTTCCTTTCGGTCACTGTTGTATCTCTATTTCTTGTCATCAAATGCCAACGTTAACGTCCCACGTCACTAACGATCCTGAAAATGAACTTTGTAACAGTATTGATATCCTTCCAATGAATACTTTCACTTATTGAGCATGATATTTGCACTGATTCTACCTTTCCCACTCAGCGCTCAGCCTTCGATAACGTTCCAGCATGAATGATGATATTCAAAGTAGTCCGGCCAATGGCGCTCCCTAACGCACAATAATCCCCATTGGACATATGCAGCAGGTGCCTGTTTACCTTTCGTGCTACTCACCACGCTCCTCGTTCTATTTGCACCAAGAAATCTCTTAACACGCACACTCAGTCACTCAGCCATTCTTCCCGCTTCCTCGACGGACGAAAACAATCCACCTCGGAAGACGTTTGATATAGGAGAGAGGCGGGAGGACAGCCAGTCAAAATGTAGGGACTTCTGTCTTTACAACTATGCATTGTTTCTACTCATCACAGCCATCCCCTCTCCCGGCTTCGAGAGATGGGTATTGTGGACGAACCTATGATCATTTGTGCGTCCCTCGATGATCATCTACCTAAGTATATGTTCATCCATCGTCTCCTGGTGTATTTGACCCAGTTGAACAGCTCGGGTGGCGTGCGTTTTACCACAAATGATATGGGACGCTGATTCGAGCATCGAGCCTGTACCAGCCATTTTCCACTGCGACGCCGAACTGAGATGGAGCTTTGTGCGCATCGTCCAGTATGTCCTCATGTCACACTCATCTTACTGATAGCCATATTTCTGCAAGGTCGATTCAGAGGACGACATATGAGTCCGTTTTCTTACAATCTACAACACGCTGCTAACCCCAATGATTACATGATGCTCGTGGAAGGAGTCTCGAGGTCGCTTGGAAGCTGAAATGGTGTGTGGATGGCGTTCGTTCAGAATGGTAAAACGGGGTTATGAGGGAACTCTCAAGGCAAATACAATCATCCGAAATTCTGAATCGTAGTTCATCTGACCATTAGATGATTATTGTAGTTCAGGGGGCTGCGCCCTGGAATGCAGCCTAGCTATATTTTGACACGATCATGTACGTGGATCTGGATGGCATGTTCCCATCACGGACATGATTGTGGCGGGAGCACTTGACACAGTAATATCATGTCATATTGCTGCTAATCACATCATGTTTGATGCTGAAGACTATCCGCAGCTGACAAGGCTTCTGGAACATTGCACGACTTGATGACAGCCCGGTGACCGATAAGAGAATAACGGAGGCACGGAAGCGAGATGGTGACAGTACGGTTTGCCCATAAAGATGAAAATTCAGCGCTCAGCGTTTGTATAAGGCGCTCTGAGACATTTCGCAAGATACGTTGATGCTATGCGGAAGCGAAACTCGCTGACTGTACCCGGGGTCAAATGTTGTTTCAGGGATCGTGAGCCAGACCGATGCCGATCAGCTGGTCATCAGTAACCTGCTGATCGTACCAGAGCACCGAGCACCGTCATTGTCATGATTGAGAGTTTACCTTTGGAGAGGTTAACAAAAGAATCGGAGCCAGCCACTGCAGGCAATAGGGTGGGTTGGATGCTTGCATTACGTATGAGTCTATCGCTGCTAATCGTCCGAAAATCCTCTGTTATCTGAGATTGTTCCAGGAACGGGAAATTGTCATTGGAGCTTTCCTGGCGCTCTTGATGCATGATGTCGGTCATATGCGATGTTGACATGCACGCAAAAGACAAGAAAGAGAAGCTCTCCTTTTGAATTTTTTATTATAAGAAACAGTACTCCCGCGACCCTCCGAGTATCACAACGAGGAATCAGGGTGGGGAGCGCTTGTCTGGATCTGGCATTCATTGTCCTAAACCTTGGATCGATTTTTGCCAGCTGGGATGGACGTGATAAACTCGAGCAATGATAATTTTGCCGCATGGCCAATCACAGTCGATATTATGAAAGGAACATACTGATTAATTGAACTTGGCTAGTACATGCAGACGCTCCCAGGTCGATCGGAGTAGTAAAACCCACCCAAATCCTGGGGGCCAAGAAACCTCAGCCGAGTAGGGGAATTCCTGCACGATGGTTTTGCAGATCCGCAAATAAAACTGCGCATGTGCATAAGCCAAAGGTGTTGCCGTGTTCGGGAAGACCTGTATGCCTTTGCCGGTGGCGAAGAAGTTGATCTACTGTCATGGGGGGACTGGCGCACGCCTCACAATGTCCGACTTCTAATACTTGGATGTCGCATCTGGGTTAAACATCCTTGGCAGCCAGCGCTAGTAGATGTGGCAAGACTTGCCGCATCAGGAGAAGATCATCGGAATTTTAATTTTCTACACAAGAATGACATTTTTGCCTGCATCCACCGTAGCGTCAATTGTTTAATCATTTGTTCCGCGGCAACGGACACCGTCTCCTTCGATTTGAAAATCATACTTTGAACTCGAAGGAACGGTATGTACTAGGCCACATGGGACACTTTCCCCATCCATCTACAACACGCTGCTTAACTCAATTATCACATGATCGTCATGTACATGATGTAAGGAAGGCTTGGAAGTCACTTGAAAGTTGAAACCGATTCTGGATATTCGGGCCAACGACATCCCATACCTTGCTGATGTGAAACTGTGGGCTGCCAAATTAGCATCGGTATGTACTATCCGCAGACCGAGATGCATCTCTGACGTGGCATGGTGGTCGCTTAGCTTGCGATTGAGTGGAATGCGACCAGTATTGTCTCTCAAATCATCCATTGTATTTCTTCTGAAGACACGTCGCACAGTATTACTAACTTTTCCCTCGTGTGATATACGTGTTCTGGACAATTGATCAGTGCCGCACAAGGGACGAGATGCAACCCCTCAGGAGCAGTCTCTGTCGTTTCTTCCAGAATAGTAAACCGGGGGTATGGAATAACTCTCAAGGCAATGCAAAAATCTGAAATTTTGAATAATAACTTACATGATCAGCAGATTATTGTGGTTCTGGGGGTGCAGCCTGGAATACGTCCTAGCTATATTTTGACGCGATCATGTGCATGGATCTGCCTGGTGTGTTCCCATCACGGACGTGATTGTTGCGAGGGTACTTGACACAGTAATATTGTTAAGATGAGTTGCTGCCAAATAC